GGGGAGGGGGGGAGGGGTGGTGGCTGTTGTTTGGGGTCGCCTGGGTTGCGCACTTAGGGTTCGGAAATGTGCATAGGCCAGAAGGGGGAATAGGATCCGGATGGTGATGATGTCAGTGATGGTGGTGGTGATGGTGGTGGTGATGGTGGTGGTGATGGTGGTGATGGTGATTACGGTGGTGATTACGGTGGTGATGGTGGTGATGGTGGGGATGGTGGTGGGGATGGTGGGGATGGTGGTGGGGATGGTGGGGATGGTGATTACGGTGGTGATGGTGATTACGGTGGTGATGGTGGTGGTGGGGATGGTGGTGGGGATGGTGGTGGGGATGGGGGGGATGGTGGTGGTGATTACGGTGGGGAGGAGACAGCAGAACGTGGTGCGCATGGGGGTGAGGGTGGACATATATACATACTTACATGTTTACATACACGCATTGCATAACGTACAAGCATTGCGATGTCTCCTTCCGGGAATTCCGAAACAAACAGATGTTCCTAAACATCTGAAACCCCCTTTCCTCCCTCCTTCAGATCCGGGCGCATTTGGAGGCTCTGGAGCGGCAGCTACGGGAGGAGCATACCCGTAGCCGGGCGGCTGCGGCGGCAGCAGCACGCAGCGGCTTCATGCTGCTGGACCAGCACAACCAGAACATGAACTACCATCACCACCTCCTCAGCCACCAACAGCATCACCATCACCACCATCACCAGCCTCCTCCTCCTCCTCAGCAGCAGCAGCAGCCATACTCCCATTATCATCATCATCATCATCATCATCATCACCAGCAGCAGCAGCAGCAGCAGAGGCTCGAGTCGGAGGTCTTCCTGCTGCCAGGCGGCCGGGTACAGGGCACCGCTGGAGGGGGCGGAAGGGGCGCATCTGGCACCCCACAACGCCACCAACACCAACACCAACACCAACACCAACACCAGCAGCAGCAACACCCGGCCTTGTTACTCCCGCCGGGGTGTCGACCGCTGGTGCGGACAGTGCATGGGGACCTTGTGGACTTCCTGAATCGACCCAGAGGTCCGACGCCGCTGTCCTCAGTACCGCCATTGCCACTGCCGCTGCCACCCGCGCAGCCTCCTTCTCCTTACCCCCCTGCCCAGGCCTACCATCCCCATCTGAATCGCAATTCACAACCTGCGTGCGTGGAGAGCATCGCGCAGCATCAGCAGCACCATACACCGGGCTCGCCTGGGACCCAGGCGGCGTTGCCAACACACCACCACCAGCAGCAGCAGCAGCGGAGGAACCTGCAACCCGAGCCAGCACCCTGCTCGCCCCGCCAGCATTGTGCATCCGTACCGCTAGCCCCGCAGCACCAGCAGCGCAGGGGCCTGCAACAGTATTTGCAGCAGCAGCTGCAGCCGCAGCAGCAACAGCCGCAGCAGCAGCTACCGGTGCTGCAGCGGCAGCAGGTTGTGGTGAGCAGGTCCCTGCCGACCCCGCCCTCTTACATTAGCACACGGACGGGAGCCAGTCCGTTGTAAACTTACGAGCTGGTATGGGCTGGGCGAGGTTGCGGTGTAGCGGGGGAGGAGGAGGGGCTGCTTTGTTACGTTCGTCAGCATGCAAAATGGGGCCCCCGCCCTTGCACTACCCCCCTGGTAACGGACCCAGGTGCTGGCTTCCGTGCTGGGAGGGGGAGTGGTGGTATTATAATACGGTGGAGGACCCAGCTACAGCCCTGCTACTGCTGCCGCCGTCGGCGCCACAGCGCGCGGGGATTTGCATGCCCGTGGTGGCACGGCAGGAGGGGTGCCCGTTGCCTCATTTCCCTGGCCTCTTCCTGGCATTCCTGGCCTCTTGCGAGACACCTCTTGCGAGACACCTCTTGCGAGACACCTCTTGCGAGACACCTCTTGCGAGACACCTCTTGCGAGACACCTCTTGCGAGACAACAAAACCTCCGAGACGAAGGGTTGAGCTAAGGGCCATGCAGCCATGCCGGTGAAAAGGGGTGGGGCGGGTGCGGGGGGGTTGGGGCAGCGGATAGTATTGCGCTGAAGAGCATTGTGCTTTTGGACCCGAATTTGTTGGCGTTCGTGGATTGGGAACTTGGTCTCGAAGCTGTGGTTGGGTGGTTAGTTTCATTCTTCTGGCTGGTCGCGTCAGGTGGCAGCAGGCCGGTGGGGCTGGCAGCGCTTCTGGAGAGGCCGGTCGGGGTTCGGGATGGGGTGTGCTGGGGGAGGGGTGGGGGTGTTACGGGTACCAGAGTACCGCTGCCGCCGCCACGCTTTCCAGGCAAGCAGGTTCTCTGTCGCCCCCTAATTCATATCGTTGTGGAGAACACTATTCCTGCGAAGGCCAGCTCGCAGCAGCTCTGACAGGCGCTGAGAGTGAGCGGAAGAGTGAGTGAGCGCATCGTGCGAGCGGCAAGTGGGTGACCGAATGACAAGAGCCAATTCGATAGAGAGAGGGAGTCGGCGAACGAGTGGCGCGTAAGGCGCTTCACTGTAGACCCCGCTAAGTGGGCGAATGCCGTGACGGGGCTGTACTGCGAATGTCGCGCGAGCGGATAAGAATGTGTGTGCGTGTGTGCGTGTATGTGTGTGTGTGTGTGTGTGTATGTGTGTGTGTGTGTGTGCGTGTATGTGTGTGTGTGTGAGTGTGTGCGCGCATGCGAGTGTGAGTGTGAGAGGGAGGGAGGAAGGGGGAGTTTGCTGTACCGCTTTGAATTGAAATCTGAAGGACGTGTAGAAGAGCTGAGAGCGCGGTTGGGTTGGCGTGTGTGCGCGCGCCTGTCCCCTCCTGCGGGGCGGCGGCCCCAAGTAAGGACTTTGGGACTCCAGACACAACAAAAATCCGACTGGGGGCAACTCCCGGGGTTGGATTGTTTGGGGGAGAGAGTTCGCGGGGGCAATACCCACCCTGGCAAGGTGGTGGGCAATCTGGTGTGATCACTGTTCACCGGAAAGGCCGCGGCTGGCCTTCAGCTGACGGCTTCAAGCTGCTGGTTGAGGAAGGGGGACCGGCAGCAGCGATGTGGGTACTTCCAAGAGCCACTTGGGGGGGTTGGCGAGCCCCAGCTTGCAAAGCATATAAAGCAGGCAGGCAGGCAGGCAGGCAGGCTCCGCAACAAAGCAGGTAGACAAATGGATTTTGTCAGCACTCTCAGAGCTGGGTGTGTACCGGAGAGGGGGGGCCAACGCAGCGGTACACTGTAGGAAGGAGGGGGAGGTCTGGCTGCCCGACAGGCAGCCGCGGGCGGCACCCTGGGGCCGCTACTGCTAAGCGGGGGTGGCCGCAAGCAGCGGAGTCCTGGCAGGTGTTCCTGGGGCGGGCGGACTGTCCCGCGGATATAAATAGATGGGGAAGATGGACAGGAAGGAAGAGAGGATGGGTGGGTGGGTAGGGCCCTGGGCCAGGGCTCTGCGTGCCACTTGAGTGTGGAGCGGGCTTGCGGATGGATTGTTGACGTTCGTGGTGGAGTCGACCGCGGTAAGAGATAAAGATGTGTACGGTTTACGACATACTGCTTTATGATTTTCTTGGGCCAGGTGCCCCTCTGCAGTTGTAGTCGTGGCTGTCGCTCCCGGGTTGACTCCCGGGGATGGAGGGGGCAGTGTCATTCAGTTTTTGCCGCTTGGGGGAGGTTGGGGGGAGGGGGAGTATGTTGCCGCTGCCGGGGTTGGGGCGTCTGTGTGTACGTCTGTGTGTATGTGTATGCGAGCGTGAGAGTTGCTTATGGGCAAGATTGTTTATTTTTGGGAGAGGCCCGACCCGTAGAGGCGACCGGTCCTGTGCGATGGGGGGAACGAACGAACGAACGAAATTTGTGGGGGGTGGGAGGGAAAGGGGAGAGGAGGCTGTGCGAGCCCCGGAAAAAGCGACAAGTCGCGAAGAACCCGATGAAAGAAGATGAACACACGATGAACGAAGAATAACAGCAACAAAATGATTTGTATTTGTCAATCGGGCAATAGAGCCGGTTTGTTGGTACGCCAAAAATGTACCGGTGTTGCCTATCCGTGTTGCGATATTGAATGTGGATGGGATTGGGTGGGATTGGGTGGGATTGGGTTCGCGGATACGGTAGCGCCTGGGGCGCTGGGGGCTGCGTGGTGCAGCTCGTTGTCAAAATTGCTGTCAAAGACTCTCAAATAGAAAGTTGGCTATGATCAGAAGTTGGGCAGGGAAGGGGAGGCGAACCGATGATGACGCGTGATGCACTGGGGCGGCACCCGAGGGGGGGGTAGACATCCGGGGCTCGGTCGGCGGGGTGGCGGCCTCCATGTCTCTCACGGTGGTGGTCATAACACTGAGGATAGCAATCATAGCAACACGAGCTTTTGGAGCCCCGGTGCGGTGCAGTGAGCTCACCAGCGTTTTGTGTGGCACCGTGTAGATGTCGGCGCTGTGCATATTGGTAGCAAAGCGAACTGTGGGTGACTTGTGGTTATGAGCTTCAATGCTACTGTGTGTACATTTTGTGTGCATGTACATATGGTATGTATGTATGTATGTATGCGCGCAATAAGTAAGTATATGTATGTATGTATGTATAAACCCCTATGTATCTATTGGGGAAGGGGGAGGGGGGTGTTGAAGGTGGTGACCATGTCGTCGTCTCTATGTCCATGTCGTGTTGGCCGAGAGGAGGGGAGAGGCTCCGAGACCAACCGAGGCTATGATTGCCACACGGCGCGGTCTTCAGGGCGTGAGAGGAGGTCCCAAGCTAGGGCAGGGTGAGGTGAAAGTGGGAGGACGGGTGCTCTTCGCGAGACCCAACTGAGTACGGAATGACGTACACACGTAGCACGGAATGAGGTCCAGGTGGTAATGCACCCGGCACCATCTCCTCTCACGATGCGCTTTCTTTCCGACTGTGATGGAGTGGGGGTGGGGGTGGGGGTGGGGGGTGAAGGCTATATAGCACGGGTTGGGAGTTGTGCGAGTGTCTATGTGCGTGTAGGTACGTATGTATGTATGCATGTATGTATGTGCGTGTGTGTAGAATGGGGGCCCCCGCAAGCTCGGCCCGCCATAGAGCCGCTCTTGCTTTAGCGGGCGGCGGCCGATCTGCCCCAGTGGGAGTGAGGTCCGTGTACAAGATCCGAGTGGTGAGGTGAGGTGAGGTGAGGTGAGGTGAGGTGAGGTGGGTTTAGGGAGCTCGTACGTTCTTGTCAAGTGTCGACCTTCACCAATGCTCTCTCATACACACGCGCGCGCGTATGATGTATGTTGTGATGTGTGCTTTGGTAAAGGTTGACACTTCACAAGAGGAGAGTGTGTACATGTATACATACGTACATTCACACGCCAACAGACACAGACACACCTGCGTTGCAGCCTTCTGGGCGTATTCGCCTTCTTCGGGTATTGCGCCGTATCGACAGGCCCATGCACATGCACATTTCCTTCAACTCCCTTATCGCGGCCCCAGCCTTTGAAATAAATCACACACACACACACACAGACACACAGACACACACACACACACACGCACACACACACACACACACACAGGCACACACACACACAGACACACACACACACGCACACACACACACACACGCACACACACACACACACAGACACACACACGCACGCACACACACACACACAGACACACACACACACGCACTCACAGACACACACACAGACACACACACACACACACGCACGCACACACACACACACAGACACACACACACACAGACACACACACACACAGACACACACACAGACACACACACACACAGACACACACACACACACACACATGTGCGACCCACCCACTCAGCTGTTGGCGAACTCTCGCACGCACTGGCTGTATCTCAGGGTTTCGGTGTTCTCCCCCTTTGTCGCATCATGCGCTCGCTGCGTTGACTTGTGCCGTTGCAGATTGTTTACGTATCTTATCCCTGACAGGCGCTGGGCTGAGCCTAAGTCTAGTACAAGGTTTGGTGCCCGCCTCAGGCCGCATGCCCCCTACTAGCGACGTAAGCTTGTAGCACGCATTTCGTACACGTACATATTTCGTAGTTTTCGCATGATTCCCCAGCCCGGGGTAAAACGATATGTAAGGATTTCAGCAATTGTGGTGGTGATGGTGCTGGTGGTCATGCTGGTGATGGTGATGGTGGTGATGGGATGGGTCTGGAAGGAGAGATAGTCGTGGCGTTGGTGGTCGTGGCGGCTTTGGGGCCAGCTGCATGGAGGGTGGGTTTGCGAGTGGTATACAGCATTCGCCCCCCCCCCGCCCAATTCCTGAACCGGTACCGGAACGATAGGGTCCCCCCCGGGCGGCCGTGGACAGAAACAGCAGCTGTGAGGGCAGGCCCGACCCCCCGGGGTGCCGCGGGGGGTTGGGGCCCCCGCATGGCCGTGAAGATGAGGAGGACAACGGCAGGAGGGGCGCGGACGGGTGAGGGAGGCGTTTCCTTAGAGCAGTCGGCCTCCATGGCGGCGGAGAGGAGACCTCCGGGGGGTGGGGTGAGGTAGTCGGCAGGAATAGGTACACGGGTGTGGGGGTGAAGGTCGCCGGGGGCTCCCAGGCGTGAGGTCACCGCTTTTCGAGCCTCTGAGTGCCTCTGCGGCCCCCTCTTCCCCCCCCCACACACACACATGCACACATGCACACAACCAAAGGGCGAGAAGGGGCTATCGTCGACGGCCTTGTTTTCCGTCCTCTTTTCCGTCACTCCGCCTAGGGGCCCATGTCTTGCGGTGCGGCATGGGGGCACGCCCGGTAGGTGGGCTACTACCGGTGTGCAGGTGGGCATTGCGGGGTGAGTGGAAAAGGGTAATGGGCACCCGGAAACGCCCTCCCTTTGCTTTCTGGATGAAAGTCACCTCACGCTGAGCATTTGTGTGTGTGTGTGTGCGTGCGTGCATGTGGGTGTCTTAAGTGTGCATCTGTTCGTGCGTATATACGTGTGCGTGTGGTTCAAACTGCAGCACCGCGGCGCCTGCAATAGTAACAGTAGCAGTAGCAGTAACAGTAGCAGCAGCAGCAGCTGCTAAGAAGGGCAGTTTGTTGGCCTCTACCGACCCCTGACATTGAGAGCGACGGCAAGGGGGGGAACGGTGGGTCTGCTGGAGGGAAGGCCAGGTCAGGTTTTGGCCTTGATGGTTCGGAGCCGCTCAGCCCTTGACCGCGTGGAGACGGTCACCGTCCGCCCTGACAGCGTCATCCGAACAAGGGTCCCACCTGGTCACCTCTGCGCATGTGGGCGAGTCTTGAGTGTTATGCCAGGTTGCCTCCGGTGCGTAAAACCAACCACGTCATGCCACGTTATGATGAAAGGATTGCAATTTAAACATCCTCACTTCAGTTGCAAAGTACCGCTGAGGTGCCGCTGAGCATACATGCATATACAGGCATGCATACATACTTACATACATAACAAACAAACATCATGCATCTCATGAGGACGAGGGCGGGTTGTTGATGGCTGCTGATACGCATTAGAAATGAAAAACGAACGAAGAAAGATCATTCGTCGGCGAAATTGGTTATTGGGGATTTTTAAAATTCCCGGTTTGACTCCGCTTGGTGGCTGTACAGGGGGGTTCTCGTGGGTGGTTATTTTTCAGATGCGCCCTCGAGATGTCGCTGTGCGACCGGCTGAAGCAACACGGCATAAGAAGTGCGGCACGATAGGGAGGGAGGGAACGGGGGGGGGCAGAGGGAGGGGGCCGCAGGTGGTTGTGGTTATGGTCCCAGTGCCGCGTCAGTTACCGCCGGATGACGATAAGGGATGAAACGGGTTACGATGCGGGCAGCGGAATATCCCTGTTGTTGAGACCCTAGGGGGTTGGGTGGTTGGTGGGGATTTTTGTTTGTTTTGGGGCATGTGTATGTGTTTGCATGTATGTATGTTTGTGAAGGTTACAAGTGTCTGACCGGGCCTGACGACACTGGCCACAGGGGCTGCTGCCCAGCAAGACGGAAAGACCGCCTAAGCGCTCTCCCGCGGACGGGAGAGGGGCGTGAGGGGGGCCTCTGCCCCCTCCTAAGCACCCGAGAGCCGCAGGTCCGCTAGCTCCGCTCGCCTGTGTGTGTGCGTCACAGGCCCGCTGGGCCCGCTGCGTTAATTACAAGTGCCAGGTTTTCAGTTGGAGCGTTTGAAGACGGTTTGGAGTATGGCCTGAGGAAATGTATTTTTCGTGACGCGGTTCAGAAACGATGAACTGCGCTCTCAAGTACGCTTATGGTGTTGTTATTGTTCTATCATGAGATGAGATTGCGCAAATCGGAAGATGTCAGGCGATGATGATGATGATGATGATGATGATGATGATGATGATGATGATGATGATGATGATGATGATGATGATGTTTGACCACGACCGTGGTGCTGCTTATGAAGTTGATGATGGTGACGACGATGGTTGTTATGACGAATGCGATGATGACGATGGTGGCGAACTGCTGTTGCTGCGGTTGTTCCCACTGCTGCTGGTTGCGGGAAAAGTTGCGATAAAGTGTTAACACAGCTCATAGGCAGCAGCAGCCAGGTAGGCAGGCGGGTAGGAAGACGGATGGCCGAAAGCTCTGATTTATGACTTTGTCGTCCTTTATTTACATACTTTTAATAATTTACATACTCTGTGACTTAATTTCTGTCTCGGTCGCCGCTGGTTGCCACAGCTTCATCCTCTTGCTTCATCTAGCTTCTCGTCGGGAGCGAGCGGCGGCGTTTCTGTTTGGGGAGTGTGAGGTGTTGGGGCCGGGGTTGGTGGGGAGGCCAAGGCGGAATGACCGCGTTATCAATTTGGGGGCATATGTTGTGTTGTGTTGGGTGGCGAGCAATCGATTCAATTATCATCATCGCAGAAGTGGGTTTTACGGACGTTCATAAGAGGTCTTAGGCCCTGGGAGGATGGCAGCTGCGCCGTACAGGGCAGGTTGATACCCACACGCCGCATGGGCGATCTTCTCGGTTGGGTCCGGTCGGATCGGGTTGACCGGGTCCAAAGTCTCCCCAAAACTGGGGGCCCGGATCCATCCGCGGGAAGGAAAGCGCTCCAGGGAAAACGAAATGGCGAGAAGAAGCTGGTTGAACTTGGGGAAGAGAGTTCCTTGGAGCTGGGAGGGATGGGAGTCTTCGAGCCCACTCCGCGCCTTTACTGGTGGTGGAAGCAAAGCAACAAAAGCAGATGAGCGCGACAGCAAAAAACGATGCGGAAAAACGGACGCGAATAGAGGTGACATATGAGCCGTATGAGCGTGCAGGCGAGCGCTCAAGGAAGAGTGAGCTTACAGAAGTATTTAGTCAGAGTTCAATAGTCCTTTGGCAGAGCTTCCATGTGTTGGTTCAGAACCAGAGCTTGTCTTTTCTTTGGAAGGCTCTTTTAAAGGCCACAGATCGGGAAATGAGCAACAACCCTTCGCGAGGTTTGGCGTATCGGACATCGGCATTTTTACACTTTTTTGTTTCTTGCCTTGCAGAATGTGCGGAAATGGCGCGATGCGAAGTGATTAAAGACCCAAGGGTCCTTCAATGTCACGTTGTTTGCGCGCGTATGCATCCACCGACCTGCATGAAGCATGCCTAAACGATATCACATAAATGTAAATGTTTCCAGAAATGTTTTAATCCAGATTCCAACCGAGTCAACCGCATACTGCACCGTGCTTGCGCCTCGGAAGTCAGCGCATCATAGACCATGGACATAGCAGCCAGCTCAGCTTCCGCAGCTGCGGGCGCCGCATCAATCCAATCCCATTAATGATCCCAATCCAGCTAACCCTCAAGCTTTTGCTCCGGCTCCAGCTCCGCCCTCTGGCACTTGTGCTGCCTGCCCTGCTTTTACTGGAGCTATTTTTCCTTGGTGGTGGCCCAGCGCTGGCCGCGTGGACGCCGCTGAGAGGGCATTTGGCAATGGGAAATTTCTTCCCTGAAGGTTCGCCCCAAGGGAAAACGTCATCTGGGCCGGCAGGAAAGCTGCTCGTTGGATTTGCAGCCAGCGCCGGCGGAGCGGCCTCTCCCAGGTTACCCGGGTACGGGTCGCCTGCAGAAGCAACAGCCACCAAGCCGCAACGGGCACCCCGCCTTGTTGCGTACAAGAGCGAACAGCTGTTGAGGTTCCTGGCGGCTTTCATTGACGCAGCAGCAGCAGCAGCAGCGGCGGCTGAGCCGGCCAGAGGTTGTGCTGGCGGCGGCGGCGGCTGCAGTAGCAACGGCGCCAGCTGTAGCGTGCCACCACCGCTGCTGCGCTTTGAGGTCGTTATTGCGAGTGACATGTACTTCAGCTATGCTTCTGTCGCCGACGGTACGGCATACACGGCATGCCGTACAAGCACCTCTCCAAGGCGCGCCTCCGCCAACTATGGCAGTGACAGCTGCAGCAGCAGGAGCAGCAGCAGCAGCGGCGGTAACAGCAGTACTGAACAGCACCCCCTCGGAGGCTGGTCCGGCGCCGGCCGGGGCTTTTGGCGCGCCAGCGGCGGCGAAGGTGCTGGCGGCAATTACCAGGAGCGTTGCGTGTCGAGCTCGGCCAGCGGTGTCGACCCCGGCAAACCCCCCGGCCCCCGCCTGAGTAACAGCAGTAATAGCAACAATAGCCCAGGCATGGGGCCTGGTAACAACGGAATTCGGTTGAAACGCAGTGTCGGCGAAGGCGGCAACATCCGCATCGCACTGTCCGGGCGGCCGCTGGCGGTGGCGGAAACCCAGGCGCCATGCGGTTCCTCATCGGGCTCCGGAGCCGTGAAGAACCAGACCGCCGGCGGCGGCGGACATGGCAGCGATGCCATGTCGTACACCGCCGCCGTGGCCTGGCGGCAGCCGCATCTGGACCTTGACGGCCTGCGCGCGGTCCTGCGCGCCTTGGCGACCAGCAGTACGACGTTCACGATACTGCTCCGGAATCTAGACATCACGGACGGTGGCACCGTCGTACGGGGCCTTCCATGGCGCGACACGGCCGGCGATGCCGCTGTCGCCGGCGCCACCACGCCCTCCACACGCTTCATCGTCGAGCGCTGCGTGTTGCACTTAATGCAATGCGACCCAGGCGGTCTGGCGGCCGCCGGCATACAGGTGCCGTTCCGCGTAGCGGCGATGGGAACGGCAGCAGCGTCAGCGACGTTACCGACACCGCGTCGTCCGGCTCCGCCGTCGCCATCCAAGTTTCTTCTTCAGGACACGGGTGTCGCGAGCAGTGACACTGACGAGATGGATGCGACACTAGTAGACATCGGGCAATGGTGCGACCGTGATTCCCAGGTTTTGGCAACGGCCACCGGCGCCAGCTTTGGCTCGGCGGCGCCGGATGGCCCCATGCTACTACTCCTACTCAACCTTACCGCAGCTGTGGCTACCGACGGCGGCGGCGGCGGCGGCGGCGACGCCACGGCGACGCTACAGGACCCGCCAGCCCGTCACCAAGGTTTTGCTTTCCTGCCCCGTTGCCCCGTACCTCCCGCCACATCATCGTGCGGCGGCGGCAGCGGAGCCGCCTCGGATACTGCAGCACGTCGTTCCACTGGACCGCCCGCTGCGGCCGCGGGGTCCTCCCGTGACCCACGGGTCAGCTGCCGGGGCCCAGCCGCCATCCTGCAAGACATGAGGACATGGCTGCGGCCGCCTGTGCTTCGTGAGGTGAGTGAGCCGCCGACCGGACGGTTTTACGTGCGTAACGGCAACTGGAGGATCCCTCTTCTTTACCGGGGCGGCACAGTTCTTCCGGGGCGGGCGAAAGGGGGATTGGGGCCTTGCGTGGTGAGGGGCAAGGGGGGTGTGGAGGGGGGCGAAGGGGGAAAACACACAGGGGCAGGAATGTACTTCAGCTACCCCCCTTTTTACCTACCTGCCTACCTACCTACCTACATATGCCAGGCTCCAGCCGGCGTACGATTTGTTGTTTTGCTTATTGCCAATGTTGCGCGGACAGATGACAACCAGTATGCATGTATGTATTTATGTATTTATGTAAGGCGCGGCAACATCTTACTGCACAATTCCGGGCCAGTCGTGAATGATCATCGTTCCCCGTCCCTTAGGGGGTTGGATGCGCAATCGTAGTTGCCAGGGCGGGCTATTCACCTCGGATGCCGCAGTAGCGGTGGTGATGGTGATGGTGGGTGCTAGAGCCGGCTGACAGGGGCGCGAGACGGAGCAGCATGCCTCTAAATTGTATCGCTAAACACCGGGGAAGGGGACTCGGCCGGAGCTGCCAGGTTGGACAGTGGGCACGGGAGAAGCTTTTCCATATGATTAAAATAATGTATAAATCTCTGCATGGAAATACGAATTTGGGACGACAGGGCTACTTGGCGCCCTTCGGCGTTTTGTTTCCCAACGAGGCGGTGGCCGTGGTGCGGGAGTCCATCACTGTGTGCGACCAAGTCGCCTCCGGGCCCGCCTTCTACGCGACAGGAGCTGGCGGAAGAGGAAGAGGAAGACGACCATTTCCCATATTGCAGCAGCAGCAGCAGCAGCAACAGGAGGGGGAGGGGGAGGAAGAGGAGGAGCAGGCACATAAGCGGTGTCAGCAAGAGCGACAACGATGTGCGCCTACCATACAGAAGCAACCTAGCGTAGTGTCCGTACGCCATCCATCGCTGCTGCCGCCGCCGTCGCCGCCTGGTCAGGCAGTCAGGTCGGCACCATCAGCTTCACAGGCGCCGCCGGCGTTGTTGCCATCACCGTTGCCGTCCCCATCGCCGTCGCAGCAGCCGTTGCCGTCTCCGCCGTCATTGGCGGCGTCATCGCCGCTACTGTCGCCGTCACGGTCGCCAGCTCCCTCGCAAGCACCGCCTCCACCATCGCCCGGAGCGATGCCGGTGGTAGTGACGCCAGTCGCTACAACGTCGGTCGTTGTGGCGCCGCGGTTGCCACCAAAAGTAACGCCGCTGCCGCCATTGCCGTCACCGTCTTCGCCATCGCCGCCGCCGTCGCCGTTACCGCCATTGCCATTGCGGTTGCCGCTGTTACCGCCGCCTTCGCCGCCGCTGCCATCGCCATCGCCGCAGCCGCTGCCATCGCCATCGCCGCCGCCATTGTCGTCGCCATCGCCGCCGCCATTGCCGTCGCCATCGCCGCCGCCATTGCCGTCGCCATCGCCGCCGCCATTGCCGTGGCCATCGCCGCCGCCATTGCCATGGCCATCGCCGCCGCCATTGCCATCGCCAGTGCCGCCGCCAGTGCCGTCGCCATCGCCGCCGCCAGTGCCGTCGCCGTCGCCGCCACTGACATCACCGTCGGCGCCCCCACGGCCATCGCCGCCGCTGCCACTGCCGCCGTCGTCGCCGCAATTGCCGCTGCCACAGTTGCCACTGCCACCGCCATCGCGGCCACTGCAGCCGCCGTCACTGCCACTGCTGTTGCCGCTGCCGCCGCCGTCGCTTCCACTGCCGCCGCCATCGCGACTACTGCCACCTCCGTCGCCAGCATCGCCGCCGCCATTGCCGTCTCCAATGCCGCCGCCACTGCCGTCGCCATCGCCGGCCCCATCGCCGCGATCGCCGTCGCCATTGCCGTCGCCATCGCCGCTGCCATTGCCGTCGCCATTGCCGTCGCCATCGCTGCTGCCATTGCCGTTGCCATTGCCGTCGCCGTCGCCGCTGCCATTGCCGTCGCCGTCGCCGCGATTGCCGTCGCCATCACCTCCGCGATTGACGTCGCCATCACCTCCGCGATTGTCGTCACCATCACCGCCGCCATTGCCGTCGCCATCGGCGCGGCCATCGCCGTCGTCATCGTCGCCGCCATTGCCGTCGCCGTCACCGCTGCCATTGGGGTCACCAGCGCCCCCGCCGTTTCCACTAATTTTGCCGTTGCTGCCCTTGCCGTCGTCGCCGTCGCTAGCACTGCCGTCGCCATCGCCTCCATTGCCGTCGCCGTCCCCGCCGATGCTGTCTCTATCGCCGTTATTGCCGTCGCCATCGTCGCCATTGCCATCGCCATCGCCATCGCCATTGCCACGACTGCCATTTCTATCACCAGCGCCATTGCCATCGCCATTACCGCCGCCATCGCCGTCTCCGTCGCCGCTGCCATTGCCGTCGCCACCACCGCCGCCATCGCCATCATCGCCGCCCGCGTTGCCACTTCTGCCGTTGCTGCCATTGCAGCCGTTGCCCCTGTCGCCGCCGTCTGCGACACTTCCACCGCTGTCACCGACGCTGCAGCCGCCGTCGCCTACACTGCCGTCGGCGTTGCTGCCGTTGCCGTCTCTGTCGCCGCCGCTGCTGCCGCCGTCGCTGCCATTGCCATCGCCGTCACCGCAGTTTCTGTTGCTGTCGCCGCCATTGCCGTTACCGTCGCCCCAGTTGCCGTTGCCGGCGCTGTCATTGCCGTCGCCACCGTTGCCGCTGCCACCGCTGCCGCCGGCGCATCTGCCGTCGGCGTTGCCGCCGCTGCTATCGCCGTCGCCGCCATTGCCGTTGCCGCCGTCTGCACGATCTCCGTTGACGTTGCCGTCACTGCCCTCATCGCCGTCGCTGCCATCGGCGCTGCCAAAGCAGTCGGCCACGCCACCGGCGCCGTCACTGCAGCCATGGCCGTCGCAAGCACCGTCGCCGTCGCCATTGCAGCGGTTGACGACGCCATCGACCACGGTGGCCACAATTCAAGCCAGGGAATTCTTACAAGGTGCAGTGTCGCTGCTACCACAGACGGGCGCTGCGACAGCACCAGCAGTAGCGGCGGCACCTACTGCGAGTCCAGCAGTACGGCCACCGGCACCGTCGTGTGGACCAGGAGGGCCCGGAGCAATGCCGGTGGTTGTAGTGACACCAGTCGCTACCGCGCCATTCGTTGTGGCGCCGCCATTGCCGCCAAAATTAACGCCGCTGCCGTCATTACTTGCATCGCCATCGCCGCCAGTGCCGTCACCGTCGCCGCCATTGCCGGTGCCGCTGTCGCCTTGGCCGCCATTGCCATCACCGTCGCCACGATTGCCCCCGACGTCGCCATCGCGGCCATTGCCGTCGCAGCCATTGCCGTCGCCATCGCCGCCACTGCCGCCACTGCCGCCACCCGCACGGCCCCTGCCGTTGCCGCCCTCACTGCTAGAGCAGCCGCTGCCCATGCCATCGCCACCGAGGCCGTTGCCACCGCTTTCGCCGCCCGTGCCATCATCAGCGCCGCTATTGCCGCCGCCACCGCTGCCGCCGACGCGGCCGCTGCTGCCACTGCTGCTGCCGCCACCGTCGCTGCCACTGCCGCCACCGTCGCTGCCACTGCCGCCACCGTCGCTGCCACTGCCGCCACCGTCGCTGCCACTGCCGCCACCGTCGCTGCCACTGCTGCCACCGTCGCTGCCACTGCCGCCACCGTCGCTGCCACTGCCGCCACCGTCGCTGCCACTGCCGCCACCGTCGCTGCGAATGGCGCCACCGTCGCTGCCACTGCCGCCGCCGTCGCTGCCACTGCCGCCGCCGTCGCTGCCACTGCCGCCGCCGTCGCTGCCACTGCCGCCGCCATCGCTTCCACTGTCGCCGCCGTCGCTGCAATCACCGAGACCTTTGCCCTTACCGCCGCTTTCGCCCGCCCCGCCGGCACCGCCGTCTCCGCCGTCATCACAGACGCCGTCGCCGTCTCTGTTGCTGCTGCCGTCGCCGCCGCCACCGTCACCACCGTCGCCATCGCCAACATTGCCGCTGCCACCGTCGCCATCACCGATGTTGCTGCCGTCGCTGTCGCTGCATCCATCAACGTCGCCGCCGTTGCCGTTGCCATTGCCATCGCCGTTGCCGTTGCGTTTGCCGTTGCCATTGCCGTCGCCGTCGCCGTTGCCATCGCCGTCACCATCGCCGTTGCCATCGCCGTTGCCATCGCCGTCGCCGTCGCCGTCGCCGTCGCGATCACCGTCGCCGTTGCCGTGGCCGTCGCCGTCGCCGTCGCCGTCGCCGTCGCCGTTGCCGTCGCCGTCGCCGTCGCCGTCGCCGTCGCCGTCGCCGTCGCCGTCGCCGTCGCCGTCGCCGTCGCCGTCGCCGTCGCCGTCGCCGTCGCCGTCGCCGTCGCCGTCGCCGTCGCCGTCGCCGTCGCCGTTGCAGTCCAACCCGCCGTCTCCCTCGCCGTCGCCGTCGCCCTTGCCGTCGCGCTTGCCGCCGCCGTCGCAGTCGCAGTCGCCGTCACCGTCGCAGTCGCCCTTGCCGTCGCCCTTGCCGCCGCCGTCGCTGTCGCCCTTGCGCAGGCAAATCGCACCACTAGTGGTGTCTACGCTACCATGGACTGGGGCTCCTGCGGTACGAGCAGCATTGGCGGTGCCAACCGCCACGGTGATGACCCCAACCATGCAAATTATCACACGAACCGTGCCGATGCTACTGCCGACTGGGCCTAACGTGATACCGGCAGCGACAGCAGCTGCGAGGCCAGTGGTGCTACAGCCGGCAGCACGACGTGGGGCAGGAGGCCCCGGAGCAGCTCCTGCAATACTGGTGTCGCCAATGTCACCGGAGGCATTGCCGCCACCACCGCCAGAGACAACGCTGCCCCCGCCACTGCCATCATCAACGTTGCCGTCGCCGCCATCGCTACCGTTGCTGCCGTCGGTGCCGTTGCTGCCGTTGCTGCCGTTCCCGCCGCATCTGCCGTCGCTGCCGTCGCCACTGTTGCCGCAATCGCCACCGTCGCTGCCATCGCTGCCGTCGTCGCCGTCGCCACCGTCTCCTCCGTCAGTACCATCGCCGCCGTCGTTGCCGTCGTCATCGCCGCTGTCGCCACGATCTCCGTCGTCGCCATCGCCACCATCCCCTCCGTCAGTACCATCGCAGCCGTCGTTGCCGTCGTCATCGCCGCTGTCGCCACGATCTCCGTCGTCGCCGTCGCCGGCATCGTCGCCATCGCTGCCACGGCCACTGCGGCCGTCACCTGCACCGGCGGCGGTGGTAGCGGCGGGCGTGGCTCCGACGCCGCCCCGGATTGTAATAGCGCCGGTGGCGGCAGCGCCGCGGCCATTGCCGCCGTCGCCTGCACCGGCGGCGGTGGTAGCGGCGGGCGTGGCTCCGACGCCGCCCCGGATTGTAATAGCGCCGGTGGCGGCAGCGCCGTTGCCATCTCCGCCGTCGCCTGCACCGGCGGCGGTGGTAGCGGCGGGCGTGGCACCGACGCCGCCCCGGATTGTAATAGCGCCGGTGGCGGCAGCGCCGTTGCCATCTCCGCCGTCGCCTGCACCGGCGGCGGTGGTAGCGGCGGGCGTGGCACCGACGCCGCCCCGGATTGTAATAGCGCCGGTGGCGGCAGCGCCGTTGCCATCTCCGCCGTCGCCTGCACCGGCGGCGGTGGTAGCGGCGGGCGTGGCACCGACGCCGCCCCGGATTGGAATAGCGCCGGTGGCGGCAGCGCCGTTGCCATCTCCGCCGTCGCCTGCACCGGCGGCGGTGGTAGCGGCGGGCGTGGCACCGACGCCGCCCCGGATTGTAATAGCGCCGGTGGCGGCAGCGCCGTTGCCATCTCCGCCGTCGCCTGCACCGGCGGCGGTGGTAGCGGCGGGCGTGGCACCGACGCCGCCCCGGATTGTAATAGCGCCGGTGGCGGCAGCGCCGTTGCCATCTCCGCCGTCGCCTGCACCGGCGGCGGTGGTAGCGGCGGGCGTGGCACCGACGCCGCCCCGGATTGTAATAGCGCCGGTGGCGGCAGCGCCGTTGCCATCTCCGCCGTCGCCTGCACCGGCGGCGGTGGTAGCGGCGGGCGTGGCACCGACGCCGCCCCGGATTGTAATAGCGCCGGTGGCGGCAGCGCCGTTGCCATTTCCGCCGTCGCCTGCACCGGCGGCGGTGGTAGCGGCGGGCGTGGCACCGACGCCGCCCCGGATTGTAATAGCGCCGGTGGCGGCAGCGCCGTCGCCATCTCCGCCGTCGCCTGCACCGGCGGCGGTGGTAGCGGCGGGCGTGGCACCGACGCCGCCCCGGATTGGAATAGCGCCGGTGGCGGCAGCGCCGTTGCCATTTCCGCCGTCGCCTGCACCGGCGGCGGTGGTAGCGGCGGGCGTGGCACCGACGCCGCCCCGGATTGTAACACCGCCGCTGCCGGCAGCGCCGTCGCCATCTCCGCAGTCGTCTGCACCGGCAGCAGGGGCAGCAGCATCAGCAGCGGTACCTTCCAGGGTGTCGCAAGTAAATGCGCCGCCGGGGATTCAGCAGCAACCCATCCCTGGCCTGTCGCCATCGCCTCCAGCACCGGCGCCCGCTGAGGCTGTGGAAGGACGCGCTGTGCAACCCCATGCTTCCACGCAACGCAGCAGCAATGAGAAGGTCGTGGGCCTCGCTGTGGGTTTATCGATGGCAGGTATGTTCGTGGGGTGGGTTGCTTTGACTAATCCAGGGGAAGGGGTCCATGTGCCGTGTGGCTGGCTTTCGCAACTGGCCAGGGCGTCCCAGCTAGGCAGGCAGCATACACTTGGCTTAGCTTGGCTTCGACAAATTTTTTTGCCGTCGGTCGTACGGTGTAATCAACTTTCAATATATATAGTCCATGGCCTCCCGGCTTTGGCGGACCCCCCGCACTCGTGCGGCACTTGTAACTTGTAACTTGTATAATACGCGGTCCTACTGTTGAGTAAAAAAATCACCATAGATGTGCATTGGTGATTTGGGCGCATCCATAACTGACATTCTATCATGACCCACCATCGGCAGCGTGAGTAATGTCTGTAAAGGCCTTTACCCTCGGTTGATCGGCTGCGCAGCTCTTTCTTCATAGCGCTGAGCCGTTCACGAGCCTCATATCTCTTTCGCCTTTTACTAAAGAGATCAGCGAGCACGGCTCTTTCAGGCGCATATCAACAATCTTTGTAAGGCTTTTGCCTTCACCCAAGTAACCATAATGAAAATGTTTATAATAAAATTTGAATCCCTTTTATGTTCTTGTGTATGCACTGTATCAGGATTTCTTGGAATTCTTGCAACAGCAATTTGGCTCTCACGGAGGCAGAGGCTCCTGGAACGCGCAATGAGATTTACTTTGCCTTAAGAGTGTGTTTCCGCTTTAGATAAACGTCATGGATTAGGGCACGGAAGTCCTTGGTCCACGAAAATCCTTCCCATAGTTTCGTTCATAGGGGGTCCAAGGCGAGGTAAGTTTGTCAACAACAAGGACATCCTCGACGTTAATCCTAAGTGGAAACACCACATCATAAAGGAATGTAAAGTATGCGTGCTGTAGGGTAGGACTCGCCCGGGCGGTGTATTGCGAGATTCGTATTGGGGTGCATATTTGAGAACGTCGCCGCATGTGATGGGATCGCAGGGGGAAACCCAGCGCTGTGTGTAGTTATGACGGTTGGTTGGTTACGGAACCGGTGGTGTTTGATACCGTGTCATATATAAGGCTCGAGGGGAAATATGGACTTGATCTGGTGCTGTTGCGGGTCACCGTACGGAAGGACGTATCTAAAAGTCCGATGTCCATGGTGCTGACATCTTGATAGACGGATGGATGGACCCTGCTGTGCCTTGTTGAACCGGGCAAGTGCCCATACCCGGATGTAGAGAATGCTGTTTGCCCGTCGCTGATCTTGCGTGGAAAGCGGTTCAGTGCGAGCGGTGAGCACGCACGGCCTTCGCTGCCACTACGAGCGCAAGTTTCATAATCGTATGCATGTCAGGAGACAAAGACGTACTTAAGAGAGAACTAAAATGCGAAATCTGGAACTATACGGCGAATTGTTGAAAGGATATGCGGCTTGAACGTCCTCCCAAACCGGACTAACGGTCGTGCTGAGTTGTCGTGCTGTGCTCAATAACGTGCGGCCCTTAACAACTTTTGACTGAATCTATAAAGAATTGTGATCCCTCGTAGTGTAATTTATTGACTGGCATACCAGCTTTTAGTCCGTGAGTTCAATTGACCTTCTTAAAGTAGACGAATTACGCTAGACTGTAATTGCAGCATGCAATAGCTTTGCAATGATTACCTAATTAAAATCGTGCGGGTGTTGAAAGGCGGCAAACATAAATGTCCGGTCCGCCAAGAGGAAATGCCACACGGGCCCCGTAAGTTAACACTCTCCGTTCCGTAACAAGTACTGCTGAACATTTGATATGCGATGCCGTCGAAGCACCTGGCAACCGTCCATGTCGCGGCATGTCGCTGTGCAACTTGCTGCCCACAGGGGCCCAATCCGATGGCGATCCTCCCTTAAAAACACCATCTACGATGTGCTCCAGTCAAAAGCTGACTGGGTGGAGACGGACAGCGAGACGGACTGGGACTTCTTTTGGGCAGACAAGGGGTAGGCAGGGACCATTCGCCACGGTTTCGGGACCGTTCAGTGGACTTCATACCCCTGGCCTTTAAAACGCCACCTCCGGACCTTCAAACCTCCACCTGCAGAGCTCCGTATACTCACACATGTGCGAAAACCGGGGCCTATGATACTATGACGCTGTGCTGATGCTGTGGCACGTGCGCTCAACTCCCCCCTCCTTCCCCTCAGCCTATGAAGTCTACCGGGTCCCTAGGCTTTCAATACAACTAGGTGCCGTACCGCCGCCCAATATACTCCTCGCAGTACCGCCGTACTGCCGTATCGCCACCCAATATACTCCTCGCAGTACGTCGTATGCCGCACCTCACGAAAGACACATACGCACATACTCAACAAATGATCCAAATCATGGACTCTCGTGACTCTTTCTGCACGCCCTATCTTTCTCAGCTGGATCCATCACGAGCTTGACAAGATGCATCTGGCGGACTGGCAGCGCATCAACCACTTCCCCAACCACTACGAGCTCACGCGCAAGGACCTGCTCATTAAGAACCTCAAGCGAGCCAAGAAACAGCTGGAGAGGGAGGTGCGTGGCGGGGTTGGGGTGGAGGAAGGAAGCTGGGTTGATGCCGAAGGACCTGCCGAAGGAAAGTAGCTATGGAGCCGAAGGAGGAGGGAGAAGAATAAGAGCACAGGGTTTTAGGGACCGATCCCCGCGACCTGGACTTCAAAAGGCCCCCGGGAACCACCCGCACTAACCCATCCACCCACCCCCGTTCCCCCCGGGAAACAAACCCGTACCTGCCCTCCTCCCCTACACCACGGACTACTCGTGTGGGTTTCTGTCTGTTGCCACCCCCCTGACAGGAGCGGCTGGCGGAGGCTGCCCAGTACAACTTCTTTCCGCTGACCTTCGTGGTGCCGTCGGAGTACCGCATGTTTGTGGAGGAGTTCAAGCGCAGTGGTGGGGTGTGGATCATGAAGCCCATCGGCAAGGCGCAGGGACAGGGCATATTCCTGTTCAACAAACTCAGCCAGGTGAGCGGGTGGGGTCAGTTGGGGGGTCGGCTGGGGGATTGTCGGTTGGGCGGGGTCGGGGGGGTGGGGGCTGGGCGGGGTCGGGGGGGATCAGTTGGGGAGTCAGTTGGGAGTCAGTTGGGAGTCAGTTGGGGAGTCAGTTGGGCGGGGTTCAATGGGGTAAACCCGTGATGGCAAGGGCCGGCTGTGGCGGGAATAGGCGAGGGCGGTGGCGGCCGCAAGCGAGTGGGTGCCCCACGGATTTCCGGGAATGGAAATGGGGGGTAACGGGTTGCTGGTTATGGATGGATGACGCCAGGTGAATGGTTGGTAAAGGGAGTGGCTGCAGGTAATCCGAACGTGAAAGTGCGCAGCGGCTGTGGCGGCTGCGGTACACTGCTTAGGCATAAACTGACATACAGGCATCAAACAGACATTTCTGAACACCCCCCACCCCCCCATACACACACGCACACGCACATTCCCATACATTCGAACGCGCGATATGTCGTGCTGTGCGTGTACTGTGTACTGTGCCCGTGCGATGTTGTTTTGGGGGCGCGAATCGCGAATCGAAAATCTGCGCTAGTAGGTACTCACCACGCTGCACCTGTTCACACCCACCACAAAAGGCCCCTGTTTTGTGCTTCTGTCTGTTTGTGAGTGCGCATGTAAATGCGTATGTATGTATGTGTGTGTATGTATGTATGTATGTATGTATGTATGTATGTATGTATGTATGTATGTATGTATGTATGTATGTATGTATGTATGACGTTGATTACACTGTGGGCTGAAAAGCCGGGGGCCCAGGGCCGAAGCACAGCGCGGGGGGCGGGTGCATACGGCTGGTTAGTCTCATGCACTCCGCCCCCGGGTCAGGCCGCACGGGAAACGACGGCCGGCACGCAACAGCGCTTGTTTGGCGCTCCAACTAGACGGGATCTATGCCCGTTGGTCTCCTAACATAAACGAAGTCGCAACTGGGGGGCTCTTCCTGCCGACCGAACGAACCGAGCATCTCAGAGAGCTCGCTACCAGGACTTGGGCGACCGGGAGCCCGACGAGTCTTCCCGGGCTGGGGAGGTCACCAAGCTCAAAAATCCTCACGCAAAAAAGAGCGCAAAGAGCTCACACCACAAGACGCCAAACAGCCTCCTGAGACTACTACCCTCCTCCGCCTCTCCCTCCCTGGGCTAGTCCAGGGGAGATAGCCCCCGTCGAGGGGGTAACACCGCACAAGTCCGCGCCCTTCCACAGCACTGGGTCTAAATTGAAAAGTACTCAAACGGGAAGACCCTGCGGCAACGCAGGGCGATCAAGCCTCCGGAAACCACAGGGGGGGAGGGTAG